AAATGCACCAGAACACCATTTATTTAAAAGTAGAAAAATATAGAATTATTTTACAGTAAGACTATCACCTCATTTATCTGACTTTAAGTCTGATTTGAGGGACCAGCAGTTAGCGTAATGGCTGTGTCACTGGACTCCCACGTAGTCAACCACAGTTCGAGTCCTGGACCCAATGGCTTAAACTCACGCCGGGTGCGTGTGCGTGCGTGCCCAAGATCCCGAGAGGAGAATGGAGGAGAAGGGATTGCAGCGTGGCCATCCCCCCTGGGGGGTGATTTCTTGCTTTCTATCTCTCTGTCTCTGTCTGTCTGGCGAGCGCACGCGCCCTATAGCATAAACCTCTTCAAAAAAAAAAAAACAAAAAAGGCAGAAAAGTCTGATTTCATAGATATCAGACCAGATTTATATTTTCGATATTTATTTCAAAATGTTTAGTTTTTTTGGAATTTAAAATCAGTACAATCAGCAATTGCAAGAGAAATTCTTTTATCTATTATAAATTATGTTATTCTCAAATTTTGTGCACTGCTGTATCAGTATTATAAAATCTATCGGGAACCAGCAGTTAGCGTAATGGCTATGTCGCTGGACTCCCACGTAGTCGACCGCGGTTCGTGTCCCGGACCCGGTGGCTTAAAACTCACGCCGGGCGCGTGTGCGTGCGTGCCCAAGATCCCGAGAAGAGAATGGAGGAGAAGGGATTGCGGCGTGACCATCCCCCCTGGGGGGTGATTTCTCGCTTTCTGTCTCTCTGTCTCTCTGTCTGTCTGGCGAGCGCACGCGCCCTACACTGAAAATCTCTCCAAAAAAAAAAAAAATCTATCATAAAAACATTGTTTCTTTAGTATAAACTTTTTATTAAAAAGTTTCCATCTAAGTCCTATCTCAAAAGCAAACAAATTCCATGTAATAAGCCCTTTCTAACTTCCCCTGCACCAAACATACATTCTTTCCCTCTATAATTCTTTGCTATCAAAATCCTTCACTGACCTTTAGTAACCAAACAGGTTTCCAGTATTTGAGCTCAAATAGTTTTTAAAAATCAGAGGATTGTTCAAACTGAAATATTCTGGCTATGCCTCAGGGGAAAAAAAAATAAAAGGCACTCCATCCATGGTTATAATAACATGTAGTTTTTTTTTTTTTTTTTTAAATTGCCATGCTAGCATGAATGAAAAATAGGATGATTCATTCATTGAGAATTTGAATGCTGGTGGTAAATGCTATAGAAAATCCAGGTGAGTTGAAGGAGAAAGAGATCAGGGACTTGTGAGGAAAATGCAGTCAGAAAATGAAGAGAGGCCCTATGAATGCAAGAAAACAAACACAGGAGGTTTGAACTCTAATATTTAAAGCCTGTTAAAAAGACCACTGACATATGACACCAGGATGGGAGAAAAGCCGAGGGTGAAAGTTTCTAAGCTGACTATTAAATAGATGTAACTCACCGATGAGTGTGCCCATGTGGGATTTTAATTACTCAGACATCTGTTTAGCGAAGTGTACTACTAAATAGGGATCAAATACAGAGATCAAATTACATGAGGAGGGGAGTGGAGATGACATTCATGAGTCAGAAAGGAGAGCTATCGGCCAGGGGAAAATCAATCCGTGCTTTACATCTCACCAACAGAGAAGCAATTATTTTAGATCTGGGGCTGGTTAGCATCCTAGGTCATGAATTTAATTAAATAACCCTGGAGTGGCAGAAAACAGAACAAACCACTGTATTTAACTGTCAGTAAGATATGCTGCAAATAAATGGCCCAAATTCCTCCTTTACTCCTTCCCTCCTCCCACACAAAGTTGCTGTAGCTTTTCTTAAATCTACAACTCTCTTTCTAATTTAGCCTATACTTCCCAGTGGCATCCAATAAACTTATTTAAATAGATGGGTTGAATCAGAGTCAGGGTTTGTCTCCAAAATACAATGGGACACTCAGGAAAAAGGGGGGAGGAGGGGAAGGATGGATTAAGTCACCATTTTGAGCTCCTTCCTTGGGCTCAATAAAAAGGCTAATAATTCACAGAAATAACATGGAATCAAAGATAAGACCCTGTGCCCCTCTCCTTGGCCATTAGTTTGATGACTTCAGGAAGAGAGTTGAAGCTGGAGACACAAAACAAAGGAGTTGAAGTGGTTGGAGCAAGAACTATAGGAGGGAACCAGCAGTTAGCATAATGGCTATGTCGCTGGACTCCCACATAGTCGACCGCGGTTCGCCTCCCGGACCCGGTGGCTTAAAACTCACTCCAGGCGCGTGTGCGTGCGTGCCCAAGATCCCAAGAGGAGAATAGAGGAGAAGGGATTGCGTCGTGACCATCCCCCCTGGGGGGTGATTTCTCACTTTCTGTCTCTATGCCTCTCTCCGTCTGTCTGTTGAGCACACGCACCCTATAGCAAAAATCTCTCTCTCAAAAAAAAAAGAACTATAGGAGATTTCTCCAAGCAGACAAGAGAAAAAGATTATTCATTCAGTTGCTTTTGAAAAGGATATTTGAAAACCAGTCCTATGCAGCGTGGCCCCTTACAGCCCTCTGCTGAGCTCCAGTTAAACCATCTGCTTGGCAGCCTCTTGCCCATAGCCAACTGAGAAGAAAAGTGATTGTCTCTAGAGCCTTCAGTCCAACTGTCCACTCAGCTCTCTTCCCTGCCCCCACTTCCCTCAGCAACATCACTGTTCTTCAGAGCTCAACTCAGATCCACTGCAACCTTTCCAAAATGCCTTTATTCTATTTGCCCACAATAGAACAGCAGCCAACTGGAGAGAACTTAAGTAAATGTGTAAATTTACTAGAAGGATACTGAGTATCTCATGGGATCCAAGAAAGAGTTGAACAAGTTGGCTTCAGGGAGTACTGGCCCAGGGCAATTCCCAGGACCTCAGGGGCTGGAATCCACCAGTTCTTCCAAAGGGCTGTCGTTAATGACTCAGCTAACAACTCCAAATCACTTTCTATGTCAATAGAAAATTCCTGGGAATATCTCATTGGTGCATGCAAAAACATATGTTCAAGTTGTTGAATAAACTCTGTAAATCATCCTACCAGTGTGGGTTCATTCCTTCTAAACTAGTTCTTTCAACTGCCATTTTACCTTAGAAGAACTACTTGAAGCACTGTTAACCTGAGTTGAGTAGATGTGGCTGACAGTACAGCCATGTTCTGATGTCTAGTGTATACAAAGTGGAAGCATCCCTCACAATAGAGCTTGAAAAGAATCTTATCTTGATGAGCAAGCTACACTTTAAAAGTATCTTGATCTGGGGACAGAAGTGGCATAGAGGTTAAGGCACTGGACCCTTATGTGGCCAACTGCAGTTTAATTCCCAGACCTGGCAGCTTGAAACTCACACCAGGAGTGTGTGCATGTGTGTGCCCAAAATCCTGAGAGGAGAATGGGTTGCAAAGTGGCCATACCTCCTTTTGTGGAGACAGGTGGTAATTTCTTGCTTTCTGTCTCTCTCTCTCCCTGTCTCACCAGCAAGCATATGTGCCCTGTAACAAAGGTATCTCAAAAAAAAAAAAAAAAAAAAGAAAAGGAAAAGAAAAAAAAGAAAGAAAGAAAGAAAGAGAGAAAGAAAGAAAGAAAGAAAGAAAAGAAAAGAAAAGAAGTATCTTGGCCCTTAAGCTTTGCCAATAACCAGGATGGTTTATGGATCTCAGCAACCTCATTCATTCAGTAATTATTCCTTGATCTCCTGAGCACTAGACAACTACACTAAGTGTTGTGCTGGATATAAAGATAAAGGGCTTTTGCCCTCATGGGACATAAACATAGGCTTGTATTGTGTGAACAATAATCTAAGGATTTCTAAGAATTATTTTTTATGTGAATACTATTTTTCTAAGTATCTCTTAGCCATTGGATAAGAATCTAAATATTTTGTGTAAACTGTGAGGCAGTGTCATTGTTAATCAGGTTAGGATTTCTCGCTCTCTCTAGTCAGTTTTCATTAGTCTACCTCAGGTGAGAACTGAGATGGTTTCACAATTAACCACAGCCTCTTGTCACTTACTTTTACGTTATGACTTGGAGGGTATGATGTTGATAATTGTAGAATTACTTTTTGAAAAGTGACGTCATCTTTCTCCTCAGAATCAAACATAACTGGGTGTAAGTTAATTTTTTTAAAATTCTGGCCATTTCCCCAACCTCAGGTGAGAACATACTTTGGAAGATTCTTAGAAGCTAAGCTCCCAGAGGAAAGACAGGAGTTTCTAATTAATAAGGGCTGCTAAAGCCACAGATAGTTTACCCAGCGTTATATGTGCATAGTGTCTGGAAATTTGGTTTGGATTTAGATCTGAGAAAATTTGCTGTTCTGGTTTGTTCGGTTGGATTCCAATTTAAACTAGTTACCTAAGTGTGTGTGCTCTCATTCTTTCTTTTGGTTCAAATTAAGGTGTTAAGATTTAGCAAATTCAGAATCATTCTGGTTGAAGGTTGAAGATTTAAATCAGTTCATATCTGTGTTAAGACTCTAAAAGTGTGGGACCAGCAGTTAGCGTAATGGCTATATTGCTGGACTCCCACATAGTCTACCGCGGTTCGAGTCCTGGACCCAGTGGCTTAAACTCACACCGGGTGCATGTGCGTGCGTGCCCAACGTCCCGAGAGGAGAATGGAGGAGAAGGGATTGAGGCGTGGCTGTCCCCCCTGGGGGGTGATTTCTCGCTTTCTGTCTCTCTGTCTGTCTCTGTCTGTCTGGCGAGCGCACACACCCTGTAGCAAAAACCTCTCCCCCCCAAAAAAAAAGAAAAGGAAAAAAAAAAGAATCTAAAAGTGTGACTCAAAATCACAGCAGCTGAAGGATAGATGCACTGGTCCTTGACTTTAAATAGGAGATAATGGGTGGAGCACTAGAATATTTATTATAGTTTACTCCTTGGGCCACTCGGGTCCTCTTGCTTCTTACAGTAAGTTCACTCACCTAGTAACCAGCAATTCCAGGATTCTTAATGGCCTTTGTTACTCAAGAAACTTAACATATATTCAGAACTTATTTAATCTGTGCTTTAGAAATAACTGTATATAGTGTTTGAAAAGAATTCAAAAGAGTAACTAATACCAAATATACACCTGTGTATTAGAATTCAGAAAAGCTGCACTCTGTAAAGTTAATCAGCTGTATTAAAAATGACACAAATCCAAAACAAGATGCTCGTTATATAAAAAGGAACATTGTGAGGTTTGCTTTGCTGCATTACATCCACAGTTTAATCCACGAAGTTTCCTTTAGTTATCATTTAGACAGAAGCATGCAAATGGTCTTAGGATCTACTTAAGAGTCTTCCCCAAATCCATTAAGGCTACCCTCCTCTTTTCAGGAACTAGGCAGGTATTCGGGCGGCAGCTTCCTCCTCTGCATCAGCTCGGTTTGCATTAATTTCTGCGAGTGTCCGGCCGAACCGTGCCCATTCGTCATTGCGGGGGACAGCAATCTGCTGTTAAAAGAAAGACAATGTTTTATGTTCACTGAAAGAAAAGATCATCTTACCCACTATTAGTCAGTTTGTTTTCAAATAATTTTCTATTAAAAAGTAATAGGTGACCCAAATGGCCTTTCTGTAATTACAGGGACTATAACAATGATTTCAACATTTCAAAACAAAAGACAGTGTTTGTGAAGTGAGTTATGACAGCCTCAGCAATGGCTTTGATATTACCACTGATGCGAAAGAGAAAAACAATTATGTTTTGTAAATCCAACTCCTATGTAGTATCTAAGGGATTTTGCTGGTGGGGAGGAATTCCTTTCAATTTTTAAATTTTATTCTTGCACTATTACTAGTCTGAAAGAGTTTCGAACCATGGTTCTTAACAGCTGGTTTCTTATAAGTGTGCCATTTAGTTTGGAGCGTAAGATAACTTTTCTTGATATCTTATTTTCTTTATCCAAAGTGTATTATTTTAGCACTTTAGTATTCTATTAATACCAGCAGCAAAAGGGGAAAGAGGCTTGTGATGCCTTTGCTCACAAAGGCAGCCCAATGACAAACATTTCTGATGGTTTTTCCTTTGTAACATCACAGGGCTCTGGCATGACCATGTGAGGGCATGAACCACTCAGTATGGCAAACAGATGTGCCACCTGTTGCTAAATGTAAACTATCCAATAGGAGGGCTACTAGCCGTATGTGAGTGTTTACATTTAAATTAATTAAAATGATAAAACTTAAGATTTGGTTCCCCAGGTGTACTAGTCACATGTTAAGTATTCAATAGCCACATGCAGCCAGTGGCTCCTATGGAGGACAGCGCCAGTACAGAACATTCCATCTGCACAGCTAGTCCAGTTGGCTATTTAGAGGATTCAATCTACCTCCTTCCAGATCTAATTGCTAGAGGCCAGGAGGTATCTACAAAACATGGGGATCAGGAAGCACAGCAACAAAGTGACTAAAGCATCAGGGCTAAAAAGGAGGGACTCAGTCCGGGTATTGTGTACAGTCAGCTAGACTCCGGATGAGAGTGCTGCAGCTGCTCCTGTTGGATTCAATTATGACGGCTTTACATCAGGGCTAGAGATTCAAGATGCATGCTTCACACAGTCATCAGACACCCTGCACAAGAGATTACTTTTGTTTTCTTCTACCCGGCCCAAACAAATCTACAAATACAAAAAAATAAAATACACACACAAAACACTGATACTGGTATCTCATATCAGTTCTGGAAAATTCCCCAATCCATCTATAACTCCCAATTTCTTCTTCTGCCCAAAGAACTTCTAATTCCAGCCAACTTCAAGAAACAAGGTGCTTCCACCACTATATTCTACTATCCTCAAAATCTGCTGCATGGAGACAAAGAATACTCAGTTCAGAAAGAAAAATGTTAAGTATGGCGGAAAGCCAGCTTTATCTTTACTACCACATGGTTTATACGATTCATGAACTTCAAAAACCTAGGTTTAACCATAAAGATGCCTTCAGTACAATGCTGCTAAATAAATGTGTCAAAATTACAGGCAGCAAGCCCCATACCTCTCCCACATCGTATATAACAATCTGTCCTTCGGAATCACCCACGGCAATCTCTCTTCCAGATTGGGTCCATCTTACACGATTAAGAGCAGGATTACCCTCCACAGAAATGCTTGCAGTTGGTACCTACAGTCATTTAGAATATAGAGCAGTGTTAGAAGTTTCATCAGGATTTCTATAAACATGTAAAACAGTAATTCTTCTTCCAATCTGGCTACATTTTTTTTTCTTTAAACAAAGGTGAAAATAGACAAAGAATTTCCCCAACTTTCTTCCTGTTCAGTGATACATTATGAATGACATTATAGTCAATCCTTGAAAATGGTTTGGGAAAATAACTTAAGTCCTTATATAAGACATTCTCACATGACTGGATATATCATTTTGGAAGATCTCCCCCTTTAATAAAAGATGCTTTGTTGTCATTTTAACTTAAGAAGTCAGCAGTTTGACAATATATGGCCAAAACCCATTTAAGAAGAAAGCATTGCAAAAGCTTTCATAAACAGATTATAGTTCAATCTAAGAGGACAGAAACTACTTTCATAGCTCCTAGTTCTATCAGCTGAAATCTGTATTCCATCCACGGTTTCTAGAAACAGTCCATTGTGAAGGTGCAGTGGGAGTCTGCCCAAAGCCCCTGTTCCCATGAACTGGCAAGAGGGAGGCGAGAGGATGGCACTGACCCATTGGCACCAGCCCCTGCGATCTTATGGTACCTGCCTTACGCTGAGGAAAAACAGGTATGTTAGGCTTCCACAGGGCAAACATTCTATATTTGATTCAGATTAAAAATACAACAAGATTTTTTGGCCCTGCTAAGCTGGCGGCGGCAGGAGG